CAGGGCCGGTAGCCTGTTGATCTGGGGCCTCGGAAGCTGGAAATGAATGGGCCACATAAACATCAGAAAGACCAGTGAGCGTTTCACAGGCCACAGGGACGAGCAGGCTGAGCCATCACTGTTTGCAAATCCGCACTAACTGGTCATTACAGAGAGAAGCACACCAGTCCAGCACGAATTTCTCACAGCTCATTTTTTTTTTTTTGCGGTACGCTGCCTCTCACTGTTGCGGCCTCTCCCGTTGCAGAGCACAGGCTCAGCGGCCATGGCTCACGGGCCCAGCCGCTCCGTGGCATGTGGGATCTTCCCGAACCGGGGCACGAACCCGTGTCCCCTGCATCGGCAGGCGGACTCTCAACCACAGCGCCACCAGGGAAGCCCTCACAGCTCATTTTTAATCATGCACTGATCCTTCATAACTTCCTTTCCCCTATTACTCCATTCTCCAGCGCTAACAGATAGAATAAGGGGCCCACAGGAGTATTTCTGAGAAACGCCATTTCCAACAGCTGTACAAAGCGATTTCTCATTCTTATCGGGGGAGGCCGTCTTACGTGTCTGCTGACACTACCATCCGACATGCTTCCTGGATGCAAGTAAAGAACACAGCACCATTCCCTGTCATCATCCATCCCTTCTCTAATGCCATCTAATGGATGGTGTTTCAGTGTGTTCCCTTCCTGGTTTACCTGTCATGGAAAGACACTCCACCTGTCCCACAGCTGCTCTTGGGATGTTAAGGTGGGTTGGCACAGACGGAGCTTCCTCATCTATGCCACTGCAGGGTCACTGGTAGACAAATACCTGGCTGTCTGCCCATGCCCTGAGCCACAAGGGGCCTCAGGAATGTGGTGAACCCTGACAATGATCAAGAAACTCCTTCCTCAACCTAAATGTCCACTGACAGATGAATGAATAAAGAAGATGTGGTACATATATACAATGGAACACTACTCAGCCACAAAAGAGAATGCAATAATGCCGTTTGCAGCAACATGGGTGCAACTAGAGATTATCATACTAAGCAAAGTAAATCAAAGAGAAAGACAAATACCATATATCACTTACATGTGGAATCTAAAATATGACATAAATGAACCTGCCTATGAAACAAATAGACTCACAGACATAGAAAACAGACTGGTGGCGGCCAAGGGAGATGGGGTTGGGGGAGGGATGGAGTAGAAGCATGGGGGGAGCAGATGTAAGCTATTATATACAGAATGGATAAACAAGGTCCTACTCTATAGCACAGGGAACTATATTCAATATCCTATGATAAACCATAATGGAAAAGAATATTAAAAAACAATGTATATATATATGTATAACTGAATCACTTTGCTGTACAGCAGAGATTAACATGACATTGTAAATCAACTATACTTCAATTAAACAAAACAAAACAAAACTGAAACCTCTTCCTAATGGCTTCATGTCTCTTAGGCACCCAGTGCTGAGTTTACTGTGTATCATTCATTTAGCAAATGTTTTCATAGGTGAGGCATCATCACGGTTTAGGTTTGTTGAGCAGGTGTTAAGCTTACAAGGTGATGAAAAACAGACAGGATCCCAGCTCTTTTGGAGCCTACACTCTAGGGGAGACAGACATTTACCAGCTCATTACACAAAGGCGTGAAAGCTTACACTCCGCAGCGAGTTTACTGAAGGAACCGTATGTGATCCTCTGAGAAGATACAACAAAGAAGCCTCTATGCGATGATGAAGGCAGGGAAGGTTTCCTTGTGTACATGGAGCTTAAGCAAGAGAACGTGGACTCAATTAGCGATGGGGGAGAGCAGGCTGAGAGTACAACAGAGAGAAGAAATGACTTGTGCAAAGGCCCCCAGCGGAAGGGAAGGAGCAGAGCAGACTAGAAGATCCAGTGGGGAAGCAATGGTGCTAACAGCAGACGACTAAGTCAGGAGGAGGTAGGAGCCAGACTGTGCAGACAAACTCGACTCAGTTAAGGACTGTGGTCTCCATCTTAGTAGCATCCGGAAATCACTGAAGGTCTTACACAGAGCACGGGGAAGGTGTGGTTGGGCTTGCCTTTGGAAAGCCTGACTCATGCTGCTGACGGAGAACAGATGTGGGTGAGGAGACGTGAGCAGAGGAGAAGGGAAAAGGCTTCTCTGGGAAAACAAAGCAAAACAAAAAACTGCTGTTGTGTTGGCGACAGAGCATTCAGGCTTAGACAAGGATGGTAGCAGGGGAGACGAAGACTAGCTAGGACCTCAAATGGCCAGATGCTCGGAGAGAGAAAGGGACCCATCGAAGGCAAACTCGGTTCTGGGTAAGCAGCTAAGTAGGTGGTGGTGTTAGGTTTCAGGAGAGGCTCAGGTTGGGGGAGGGGAGTGGGCACACCACGGTTTAGACTTGTTGAGCAGAAGTATATATACATTATGATGACTGTTTTCATGAATAATGGAAAAATTATGTTTTACAGAATGCCTTCATACTCACTGTCCTTACCAGATTCTGACAACTGCCTCATGGAATACAGGACTGTGGGTGATAGAAGTTTTAAGAGGTAGGGAAATGAAATGCAGACGGTAGGGACATTGCATGGCAGAGTCAGCAGCAGAAGGCAGGGTCAAGGGCAGGACTCTGGAGACGATATCCTTTAGGACACATCAGATTGTTGTTGTTTTTTAGTTCTTATTTTTTAAGCCATGGAGTCCTCAATTCAAATGGATAAAAACTCCAGTGTGTAAAAATAATGGATACCTGGATTCATGTGGGCATGAGGGAGTCAGAGCCCTCGTCTTCCCCCACACCAGTCCCCTCCTTTCCTCCAAGACCCTAAGGAAGCCTTGGGGTTCCCGGGGGCAGCTTACAGGCCACCGTGCCTTACCTTTCAACCTCCCAGCTGCCCTGCGGGCCTTCAATCAAGAGCATTTTAATCCTATATTGCCATGGCTGCAAAGGGGAATGAGGGATTGTCAAGACCCTGCTGCATTTCAGGCACTGCTGGGCCTTCACGTGAGTGATCTGATTTAATCCAGTATCTTCTCCCACAGCTGGCAGGGTTCCACCCACTTTCAGCTGCTCAAGCCAAGGCTCAGAACCCAAATCAGATATTAGCTCTTTAATGGCAAGATGCGAAATGAAGCTGGGGTTTTCAACTCCTTCGTGTTTCCTCAAAGAGCAGAGGGGGTGCAGGCTTGCACAGGGCACAGACACAGGACTGCTCTAAGAGAGAACATGCACGCTGTGCCAGACGTGGCCCCCTCCCCTCCTGCTGCTTTTCCCCATGGTGTTGGCCCTCAGACCCCGGGAGACAGAGTGGCTTGCTTTCACCTTAATTAGTGCAGCAATTTGCTAAATTTTGTTTTTCCCTTTTTAAGAGTGTTAATCAGTTTTAGCTCAGAATAGATTGGAATGGCACACAAATTACCACGACAATCCCCAAATGCTAAATTCTGAACATCTCGACCAACCTCAGAGCCTGAAATATGGGAAAATGAGAAACTCTGGCCAACATCTTTGTGATCTATTTAAAATGCTACGGCTCTGAAATGAAAAGATAATGGCTTTATGAGGTTTAGACCAAGCAGTGTGCTAAAATCTGCCTCACGTCTAGGCGTTTAGTCCTTCCCAAGGTGACTGCAGACAGAGCTGCAACGGTTTCTGCAAAGCGACACGTTCCACTAATAACAGCAATTGGTTAAATCCACAAGCATTACAGGGTACCAACAAATGCGCCAGAAGTACAGAAAAGAACAAGATGTGCTCCCAGCCCCGTCCCGTTAAGAAGGTTCTAAACTAAAGCAGTCGACGGGCAAGTGAACAGAAAACGTCCCCCTCTTTCCTGGAGGAGTCGTGGGACGTTCTCAGAGGGGGTAGCCATGGAGCTGAGTCCTAAAGGATGAGTGGGAGGTGTGACAGTAGCTGGAAGGGTGTGTCAGATAGAAGGAACAGCAGAAGCAAACGCTCAAACGCAGGAGGGAGGGCAGAGAGCCCAGAGGTGGTTTCTTCGAGCTGAGTAATAAGCAAATTTGCAGGAATGGCCAGAGATGCGACTGGAAGAAGAGTCAAGAGCCAGAACGTGCAGGACTTTTAAATCAGACCATGAACCTCAAGCCTGATGCAGACCACGTGATACCACAGGAGGATTTCTTTATTATTCTTTTTTTTTTTTTTTTTTTTTTTTTTTTTTTGG